AGAAAGCTGGAGTAGGGGGCGGGGTCCACAAGACTCTGCAGAGTTCCTTTAGGACATCCTTCCCCTTCATACTGGTATCAGGATACTACCATCATGAACTGGTGATTTCCCTAGGGGGCTCCGGGGACTAAGAGGATGGGCAACGGTACACAGAAAGACAGGCTCTAAGGTTTGCATCTGCTGAGTCACAGTTCTTTTGGGGCATTTAAGTTCAAGAGACAGGTGAAAATCTCAATCTAGAGCTTGAGCAGAAGGAACAGCAGTCAACCACAGAGAAAGTGAAACCGTGGGCCAGAGGTGTGGTGCGTGAGAAGATTCATGGCATCATCCAGACAGAAATAATCTGTGAAAGGCCCGGCAGAAGAGACAGCTTTCAGGAGGAAGGATGCTGTCTGTGTCGAGCAACAGCTGAGATGTCAAGTAAGATGACGGCTGACAAGCGTCTACGGGAATAGTAGACAAGCGTCTACGGGAATAGTAGACAAGCGTCTACGGGAATAGTAGACAAGCATCTACGGCTGACAGTGGCAGGGTAGCTGGGGTGAATAGGTAGGCACAGAACGAAGACTTTAGAGGGTTGTAAAGCGGCAGGACCATGAAGAAGAAAGATGACGGGCACAAGCTTTTTCAAGGCGCCACAAAGTACAGGAAAGAAACAGCATCAGGCAGAGGGGTCACGGGCAACAACATCAAGGCTGCTTCCTTAGCACATACAGTTCACACTTCTCTGTCCACAGGGCAGCACACTACGCCACACCACACCCCTCCTGCCGGGGCCTCGTGTCCAGTACCTGCTCAGAGATGAGCAAGAGCTGAGGCGCAGGGGCAGGAGACTGTGGTGATGGAGGTGCCGACGGGGGCCCCAAAGGGGGTGCCCATGGCTGCACTCCAAGGTCAAGTACAAACAACTCAATTGCTCGTAAGTCCACTGGAACTTCTCTTCCACCTTTTCAGTCCCGCAAATTCTGCAGCCTGTCTATCTCACTGACCAGTATTTTTCTAGGGGCTTTCAGGTCCTGAGGAGTTGAAAATTGGACCACTTTGTCTTTTCCAAAACTGCCAAGCACCAGTGGAGATGTTACCCATGAACATGGCATGAGAAGCTCCAGTCTCCTTAACCACCAGCTTCGTGTCGCACAGCCGGCTCTAAGAGTCCCTCAGCTCTTACCTGGGAAGGAGTGGGGAGGGGAGAGGGGGAGCTCCAGTCCACCTACCGCTGCTTGGGTGGGCTGTTGCTTCTTATTGCGTTTTGGCCTTAACTTGGTGAAGTGCTCCAGCTTCCTCCCTTCCTCGGAAGGCAGCTCCGAGATGAAGCCCGAGCTCCGCTTCTCTTGTCGGGTGGATGGGAAAGGCGGGTCTTCGATGTGAATTGGCACCTCTTCTAGCGCTTTATCCAGATCAAACTCCATTTCTAAAATAAAGCAAAAGCCCCCGACTAAAGCTTAATGGCAGAGATGGACAAAATAATCCCTGCAAGTATTGAAGTCAATACGGAGTAGCAGATACGCATTCAAAAATCTCCAATCTTTCTGAACATTTGCTCACAGAGAACATCCCTAAGACCAACCCTGACGTCTTGGAGGTGGCTGCCAGGGTGTTTCATTGTGCAAAGAAATGAGGCAAAGACCAAGACACTCACCGAAGGCTCTAGAAACGGGCCGCAGCATTCGACTGTGGATACTCTTCCTTTTGGATTTGGGAGTCATCTGGCAATAAAACAAAGCATGCACTTAGACAGGAATTCACAGGAAACTTTCAAACTTCAGAAACATTTAGGAGAGGCTGGAGGGTAAGCATTGGAGACCAGTTATTTCAGTTCAGTTATTTGTTTCTCTTTAGAGGATAGTGAGTAACATCAGACAGCCTGAGGGAAAAGACGGAACCAAAACATTTTGAAATGTTTACAATTTTCTCAAATGCTTTATAACTAACTTGTATCATCCCCACAATCCCAATCAGTTACATTCTATTTAAATAGCTGAAAGGAACAATGAATGATAAAGAATTTAACTCCAAGCTGTACAGAAGGATGCAACAATGGATATAAAGAACAAGATTGAAAGATTGTAAAAATCAGACAGGAAAACACAATGATACACTGTTCATTATCTCAGTCCCATCAATGTAAGTGAAACCCTGCTTGCTCATTAACTACTTGAACAGTTTAACTCTTCACATTTCTACCACTCAGACAGTGATCTTTACATTATAGGCAGACTGGCAGGAAAAAGATGCCATCACTCAGAAACCCACATGTGATGCCACTTCTCAGTAAAATGTCCTTGATCCTGAAACCCTGGGGGAAAGTCATTCCAACAAGCAGACCATGGCCAAAATTTAAGGGTATTGTGTTAGCATGGTGCCAACTGTTGATTATTAAAGCCGACACAAAGGAAGGTATATCTTCTCCCTCTGATGGATCACACAAGTCAAAGCCAGAAGAAATAGTCAGAGTGGAGGTTACTGGCTATCCTACAAGCTGTCAGGGGAGTGGAGCCAAGGTCAGTCCAGCATCCCTCCTTTCAGACCACGTTATCATATGAACATACAAATGGACGAGTCTTAGGGATGTTCAAAATGGTTTGATAGGTGAAGCAACTTGGTGTGCAGGCTCTCACAGGTTTCCCTAGGAGGCTTCTTCAAAACAACAAAAAAATTCTCATGACTGATAAACGGTTCATACTGATGTGAAAACAAAGGACTTTATAGTTTTGACAATTTTTATGCCGGTTTTATTTTAACTATCATCTCCCTTTATCATCAGGAATAAAGGGGGAAGGAGCAATGATGAGTTCCATTTAGATCTAGACCTGCCTTCCTGAAGCGTGTAATTCAAACTTGCTGAGCTGGTTCTTTCCAGGTAGATAACCTAAGGACTATTTCTATAGCAAGAGGTTTTCGCAGGTTCAATAAAAATACAGTCAGACCCATGAATGGCAGTTTCAAGGCAGTTTCCCCCAAAACTGGCCTTCAACTGACTGAAGAGGTTACTGGCCTGATTGGTCCATTCGTAAGTGAAACTTATTCTAAAAGTAATTCTCAGGAGATCAAGCAATATACCAGAATACATGCTGTGCTTGGTTGTGAGAAGTTCTTGAGTATCATGTCCATCTGGTTTATAACCATCATAGATAAAAGAATTAAGATGTAGCTTGGGATGTAATTTCTAGTCAATTCACTTAGGTAGTTAAAAATAAATAGGAAAGTCTAAAAATTCCTGGAATGAAGGTATCTTCCAATTTTGCCTGTGACTCTTACTGGACTTTAGTTTGTGGGCCACGACAGTATGGTTAACACCTCCTTATGAGCCAAATACACATCCAACATGACCATGGATATTTCATATACATTACCTTTTATAAATATAAGAAAATTTGATAGAAATAGGTATAAAGGCATACATGTAAAATATATGATAGGGGCAAACTAATACCCATTTGTAAATGGGTCATTCAGCTCAACCTAATTGTAGAGACCAGTTTAAGGAACAAAATCACCGCTATTTTTGATGGCAGACATTAACCAAAGGTGAACTAATATGCTCTTCTTGATCTAGCTTTTATAGTATCTGGAAAGGTACACAAAGTATCAGAAAGATATATCCTAACACATTTTTACTGCTCTTTTAAGTAAAAATAGCTTGTAATTGCATTATGCATATTTCACTGTATTTGAAATATGTGTTAGTTCTGAAGTTTTGCCCCATTTATACAGGGTGAGGGCCTTTGTTAAAATAAGCAAGACTGGCAATTACACTGAAGTCTACAACTGATATTAAGAATTTAACCCATTCTACACATTTCTTCGTAAACTGTCTTATAGGAAAGGTTAATAGGGACTTACGTACAACAATGGAGGGTAAAGTCAATGTTAATTTTCTTGTTTTTTTTTCTTTGTAATTTATCTTCCTTGCCCATTTTATAGAAAATGGGGACTTGCTCAGTCTTGCTGGCTTATTCTCATGATCACACTACATTTACATCTAAAGCAAGAGGAAATATAAGTATGACTCATGATTATCCACTGAAGTGTACACTTCAGGATTAAATATTCTAGGTTTCTCTGAAATGTGGTTTATATACACTCCTCTCTCCACTTTTCCATGCATGTTGGTTAAATGAGTTACACCCTGAGGGTAGAAAAATCAGGTTTTACAATCCTCTTTAGAACCATTCACTCTCTAGTACTGAATGAAAGGGTTTGTTTTCTCAGACTGTTTTAGTTCTCATTTACCTTCCCTGGACATTTATCAATGCCTAAGTATTTTCTGGTTGGAGAAATCACAAAATGAAGGGGCTCAGCAACTGAAGCAAAAGAGGCACATACCTAATGGATCTTTCAAAATCAATCCATGATTTTTAACACTACTGACAAGTACTTTAAGCCTGGATGAAAATCACTTTATGTTAAAAAAAAAAAAAGCAACTTATGAAAAGTTTTGTTCAATATTCACATCTGCAGGAAAGAGGAGGAACAATGTATCAAGTCACACTATAAAATACAATTTTAGAAGGAAAACCATAAAATGGACCTCTTCCTTATCTTAACATCGAAAACTGTCAATAAAGCCCTCATTTTGGCAGCCAGTGCAAATGAAATACAAAGCACTATTCTTTAAGAATCTAAAAGGCGCACTGTCTACTTCTGAAATTTTACTCACTTGATCCAATTTTTGTAACAGCTTAAAACTACTCTTCATGGAGATATAACACATAGCTTCAACCACTTTTAGTCAAATAAAAGCCTTTTTTTCTGCTTTAATGTGATTAATATGTGACTCCTAGACGGATGCATTTAATTTTTAAAAAACAAGGAGTTAACTTGTTTTATTGTCACTAAAATAAGATGAGGTAGCAGCATCTTTGTTCATTTTACCAAGTTTGTACAAAGAAAACAAACACTAGCATTCCAACGTCAAGAATCCCTAATTAAGTCCCCACTCTCTAAAGTTAAAAAGACAAAGAAAGATCAACTGGTTAAAAAAAATGGGAGGCAGATTAGTAAAATTCTTCTCAGATAAGTGTCTCCTGATGTGATTTACTGTAAGCCTGGGAGACAATATGACAAAGATCAGAAAAAAAACTTTAAGCAATCAGGACTTTTTATTTAATTTTTTTACATGAGTGAAATAAAGACTTTTCTCCCCTTTTAAATGTTTATTCCCTCTTCATCAACCCTTGGCTTTCTTTCAGGCACATGTCTGGGGATATTTTGACATCATAGCCTATTTTGCTAGCTGAACCATCTTGTAAAATGCAATCTTGTGTCTAAATTGTTCCGATTTCATTCAGGATCCACAGATGCATGAGGAACGGCAGTCTCCTGGGAGACCAGCCAGTCAGCACAGAAGCAAATGGAGCGCAAGAATGTAAACTAATACAGCCGGAAACTGCGGAGCCACCAAAAAATACTTACACTTGTACAGCAGAGAGTCTCCATGCAGCAAAAAGAAAGGGAAAAAAAATATGAATGGAGGAGAGATAAAGCAACAACTTTAAAAGGAAAGGGGAGAAGAGAAAGAGCATTCACAAACCAACAGAAAAACTACACAGAAAAGCCTTTATAGCCAAGCAGTACAGCAAGGAGGAGGCCAAAATATCATGAGCGTAAGCATCCGACCTCACATTTGGAAAGCAGAAGCAAGACAGCTTGGAAACTGCAGAACCTCTTAGAAATACTATGTCTTTTGCTAAGTGCGTGCAGAAGGCCATCTACCGATCCCACAGGGGATTCCGGCCTTTGGGGGACAAGCCCTCACTGGCTCCACAGGACTGTCGTGGGCAGAGCACCTGCAGGCCCAGGCAGGTTTGGGTTCCAGGGCCACCGGGAGAGGTGCAGCAGCCAGAGAGGATGTTGTGTCTAGGGTGCCTTCCGCCTCCCCTCTGGGGCCTTTTACATCATCTGTGCTCCCCTCTCACCTCAGCCTTCAGAAGAAACTATGACTTCTCTTCCCCTCAGTCACAAAAATTTTCAGGGAAGGATGGAATGTCAGTCCGCACTCATTCCCGGTCCACGGGGTAATTAAACGCGGATGAGGACTTCCACTTTAGGGGGAATTTAAGTCATCTGACATGTAAACCAAGTCCTGAAAAAATCTAAAATCATAATTAGCCATCAACTAATAGTGATAAGGACATAGTTATAAGTTAAATTCTGCAAACCTATGAAAGAACCCTTAAATGCACGAGAATGAAGGAGGCCTGCCGTCCACAGTGAAAATGAAGTGTGGTGTGAACTTGACATTTCCCAAAAACCCGCCCTGAGGAACCAGCTACCGGGCGATGACTTTTTTTCTCCTAAATTCTTTTCTTTTTTGAGAGTCATTATTTGTCACTGTACCACAGGATGGAAAGATAGCACTCCTCCGTGTGCAAACGCAGTTTGGGTCCCTTCAGAGGAAAAGTTGGCTCCTAAGTAAAAGGGGTTCCTATCAGCCACAGCACCATCAATGTTATATGCTTAGCAGAAAGACTTCCGCCAGCAATATCCTGAAGGAACCACCATCTTTGGACTTCAGTTTCCATACCTTATTAGGTCATTTTTTTTCCACAGTAGGTGGACAAGGTCCTTTCCTTTTGAAAGCTTCCTTTCAGGTGACTATGGATTCACACAGAAGAGATCAGAGCCAATGGTTAGGGCCTATAGATCATTTTCAACTTTCCTTCTCTTTGGGAATAGTTAATTCACTAAGAAAAGTACTCTGTCC